TTGATTGGAATTGATTTGATTCGAATTGATTTGATTCGAATTGATTTGATTCCAATTGATTTGATTCCAATTGATTTGATTCAAATTGATTTGATTCGAATTGATTTGATTTGATTCAAATTGATTTGATTCGAATTGATTTGATTCGAATTGATTTGATTCAAATTGATTTGATTCGAATTGATTTGATTCGAATTGATTTGATTCGAATTGATTTGATTCGAATTATTTTGATTCGAATTGATTTGATTCGAATTGATTTGATTCGAATTGATTTGATTCGAATTGATTTGATTCGAATTGATTTGATTCGAATTGATTGATTTGATTCGAATGGATTGATTTGATTCGAATTGATTTGATTCGATTGATTTGATTCGAATTGATTTGATTTGATTCGAATTGATTTGATTCGAATTGATGTTTGATTCGAATTGATTTGATTCGAATTGATTTGATTCGAATTGATTTGATTCGAATTGATTTGATTCGAATTGATTTGATTCGAATTGATTTGATTCGAATTGATTCGATTCGAATTGATTCGATTCGAATTGATTTGATTCGAATTGAATTCATTTGATTCGAATTGATTTGATTCGAATTGATTTGATTCGAATTGATTTGATTCGAATTGATTTGATTCGAATTGATTTGATTCGAGCTGATTTGATTCCAAAATTGATTTGATTCGAATTGATTTGATTCGAATTGATTTGATTCGAATTGATTTGATTCGAATTGATTTGATTCGAATTGATTTGATTGGAATTGATTTGATTGGAATTGATTTGATTCGAATTGATTTGATTCGAATTCATATGATTCGAATTGATTTGATTCGAATTGATTTGATTCGAATTGATTTGATTTGATTCGAATGGAATTGATTTGATTCGAATTGATTTGATTCGAATTGATTTGATTCGAATTGATTTGATTCGAATTGATTTGATTCGAATGGAATTGATTTGATTCGAATTGATTTGATTCGATTGATTTGATTCGAATTGATTTGATTCGAATTGATTTGATTCGAATTGATTTGATTCGAATTGATTTGATTCGAATTGATTTGATTTGATTCGAATGGAATTGATTTGATTCGAATTGATTTGATTCGAATTGATTTGATTCGAATTGATTTGATTTGATTCGAATTGATTTGATTCGTTTTGCAGAATCCCCAATCGATCCCGCGCACACTGGTCCACATAAAAAACCACTCAGGGGACTGTATTCTATCGTTTATTTAAAGATTCTATTTACAGCGTGAGTTCATGCTTCCTCTACGATCTGACTCAATGATGGTATCAAAATTCAATGCAAGCGTTAATTAATAGTGCTATATTACATTACAACGTGTCTTTGTGCCGAATCAACAATGTGCCCTTGTGACGTATTTACAAACAACTAAACTATATTTACATAAAGTGCTCACGTAACTGTTACACGCGGAACTGGCGGCGCTGCGCGGGGACCTACAACATCCCACCCACCTTGATTCATACACGTCTATGAATCAAGCATCGCCCTTGTCTTCGCTTTTGAAATCTCAGCAGCAGCTCGTCTCGGACGCTCATGCAGATCATGCAAGGAACCCTCTGCCTCACCTGAAGGGGAATTCCCTTCCGTCCCGTTCCCACCCGGTCGAGCTTGAATTTCCAACGGGTAAAGTTTCTGCACCGGTCTTTTCAGGTAAACTGGTTTACCCTTTCCTGCTATTCTTAACTTAGCACCCCTAACCTCGCTGTCATTTCCTAAAATTAGCTGTTCTACCTTCCCTAGTTTCCACTTGCCTCGCTTCTCTCCTTCTCCATAAACTACAACTACTTCGCCCTCCTTCAAACTTCTTGCCTTTCGATTACCACTTTTATGAAACTCTCGTAACCCTATGAGATACTCACTTTGCTTGGTCCAGAAATGTTGTAATTTCAATGTAATATATTTGATCTTTCTCCACACTACTTTCCTCTCTAGCTACCTCCCTCCGTGGTATGAAATTAATTGCTCTTCCGTAAATTAAGTGTGATGGCGTTAATACATCGCCTTCGAACTCTTCATATTCTTCTGTCAATGGTCTGGAATTTAATGTGCCTTCTATCTCTACTAATACTGTGTTAAGTTCATCTACTGTCAATTCTCCACAGCGCTTTTCCATGCCCTTAGACTTTGCTCGTGCATTGAATCCAAACCTAAGTACCCATGCTGTTACTCTGAAAAGTCGTTCCGCTGTCCCATAATCCTCCAGATTTATCACTTTGCTTATACTAGCTAACTCTTTACTACTAGCTACGACCATTACGGAAGACTTTCGTTTTCTTCTAAGACCGTACTTGTTTTGGCAGGCAGCCTCAATTTCGGCCACTCCTCCTTAGACCTATAGCCAATCAGGCCCCACCCACCATAGCTTGTTATCCTTCAATTGTGAAGCAACTCACCCTAGCCCTATATCTGCGGGATTTCCACCCCGGACAATGTCCCCAATCCTCCTTGTTTGTTAATTCGGATTTTTCTTATTGTGGCGGACGAATTGTTTCCACTCACCGTTGTTCATTATCCAGTAGAGTGCTGTCATGCTATCAAGCCACAACTTCGTTTATGTTACTAACCTGGTTTTCTAATGAATCTTTCACTGACTTTAGTAACTGCGCTAAGAGCCTCGCAGACATTAACTCTAACCTTGGAATGCTAGTTGTTTTAGAGGTGCTACTCTTACCTTTGATGTTACATGCGGACATAACTTCCTACTTTGTATAATAAAACATACTACCGCACAATATGCTTTCTTACTAGCGTCGCCAAACCCATGTAATGTGCACCCTAAAACCTCTTCGCTGGATGTTGGTATATGCATCGAGGAATAGTGATTTCCTTGGTCTCAATCAAATCCCTATACCAGATTTCCCACTTTCTTAAAGGCTCTTCCTTAAAGCTGTCGTCCCATCCCGTCTTACTATTACAAACCTCCTGGAATAAGATCTTGGCACTAACTATCAATGGACTTATTATCCCTAGAGGATCGACAAACTGGCTAAATGCTCAGGAGGTTCCGCTTTGTTGGCGATAACGTTTCTGCCTTTTCTCCACCTTGGAAATTTCAAATTTCAGTTCGTCCTTGTGGTTATCCACACCTGCCCTAAAACCTTATGGCCCTTTGACTCACCCCTACTGCTCCTAAAGATAACCTAGCATATGTTTCCTGATCATTGATGCTTTGTTCTGACGAACCCTGATCTTTTTCGTGAATCTCTAGTTTACTCCTTAACACCTCACTGTTGGTCAACCACTTCCTTAATCTAAACCCCCTTGTGCCATTCTTGTCTTAGCCTTATCATAAAGTTCAAAGGTCTTCTCTACCGTACTCTCACCACTGACCAGGTCGTCAACGTAAAAACTTTCCTGCAATTTCTTACAAATGCAGCATCGATTTCGTTATACTTTGTTAAATGATGCCTTAAGGTTGCATTCAATAGAAATGGTGATGCATTCACTCCAAAAACTACTCTACAAAACCTATAAACAACTATCTCCAACTTATCACTTTCTATATCATTGACCCACAAAAATCTCAACAATCTCTATCCGCCTTATCTACTTCAACATTCAAAATGCCTTTTCTATGTCACCAACTAAAGCAATCCTATTTTCTCTGAACCGTATTAATATGCTGTATAATAATGGATTGAGAGAAGGCCCAACATGTAGGCAGTCGTTAAGCGATGTCCCAGACTTACCTTCCTTGGATGATGCGTCATAGACGATCCGGAGTTTAGTGGTCACTGCCTCCCTGCGAATAACTGCCTGGTGTGGTAAATAATGGACCCTTTCAACCTTCTCTAATGCAGATACTGGCTCCACTATCCCTCGCTCCACCTGGTCTCTGATGATAGAATCATACTCTGCTAACAATGCTGGCTCTTTCTTCAGTCGTCGCAGTTGACCCTTCATTCTACTTAAGCTATTTGCATAGTTGTCAGGCAACTTCTTATGGCTCTCCTTCCAGGGCAGTTTGACTGAATATCTACTTCCTGTAAATGATATTTCATCTAAAAACTCTTCATGCACCTTATCTTCCTCACTAATGCCTAACCCTTCAAAACTCCATAATTTTTGCACATTACTCTCCAAACTGTCTTCACTACTCAATCTCTGCGCTACAAAATTCACTTGGACTGGCTCTGCTCGCTCAATGTCTTGTACTTTCAGCGGTCCTGATAAAACCCACCCTAATTCTGTTTCTATAGCAACAGGTTCTCCTGATTTACCTCTCTTGGTTGTCCCTGTCTGAAAGCTCCAAAGGTAGTCTGCCCCTATCAGAACATCTACTTCTAACTCATCTTCTGACTTAGAAACATCTGAAAACCATATACCTTCCAGATGTTTATACTCCCTCCGCGCTATCTCTACATGGCTATTTCCTATGCTACTATTTCCGGCACTACAAATGCTTCCGTGTGATAACCTTATTTCCGTTAAGAGGTTCAAGCTTTAATTCAACCACTTCCCTGTGCTCGGCTTTTACGCATTTTTGACCGAACGTATTAATTCCTAACAATTCCCTTCTTATACCCCTGGGATTCGCGAGACCAGCTGCTTCGGAAGTAACAAAGGAACGATGACTTCCCGCGTCAAAGAGGACCCGCACCTTAACCACCCTTTCCCCCTTAAAACGCCACGTGCAGTCTGCAAGGCAACCAGGCTACCAGTTCCAGCATGCAAGTTACTATTAGGAGTAGTCACATGCACATTCGTGTTATTGGGTACGTTTTTACATTCATCATTAGGCTTGGGTATTTCGTCATGCTTACCCTCGCTCTTAGGACTCATTTCGCACAGTGCAACATGATGAGCCCCATCACAACACTACTTGTTCTCGACCTTACAACTACTGGCTCTATGCCTTAGACAAACAAACAAAACTCTACCGTATTTGCGAGCCAAACTCTTTCGTGTCTTCGGATCCTTTACTCCCTCACAGTTCTCGTGTTTGTGGATCTTCAGGCAGAAAGCACGTTTCCCTTCCTTTCACTCGCTATTAACGTGGATGCAGTTCCCATGTTGTTGACCATATTTTCTACCCGACGCCGAACTCCCATCGTTTCTTTCGTACTCTCGACCCGACCTCGATCCCACCGCATCGTGCGCTTCACGTAGTTCGAGCTCTTTCTCAAAGGCTTGTAGCATTTCCTCCATTGACCACTCCAGGAGTTCTGCCCTCTCGTAATAGTCAAGCGAAACTGCTCGGGCAGCTTCTCCATGATCGTCGGAACAACAATAGCGGAATACGAGTTCTCGTTCACCCCCAGGGCTCTCAAGGCGCGGTTATTCGTTTCGCAGCTGTCAAACAACTTCCGTAGTCTCTGCGTGTCCCTTTCTTTGTAAACTGCCGGCAGTTGTATGAGTTCATTCACGTGTGCTCGTTGAACTATGCTTTTCTTTTCGAACCGTTTCTTAAGCAATTCCACTGCACAGTTGTAGTTTGTCCCTGTTAACGCTAATCCGGCAATTGTAGACTTCGCTGGTCCTTCCAAATATCCGCGCAAATATGCAAACTTGTCAACGTCAGACAATGCGTCATTGTTGTCTATCGAGCTTGAAAACCCGTCCCAAAACTCGGGCCACTCACATACTTTACCGTTGAAGTTCTTAAGCTTTAGTTTCGGAAGCTTTGCTCTGACGATCTTTCCCGTACTGGCTGTCGATATACGGCTCTGGTCTAGGTTTCCTTCGTCTGGCGTCGTCAACAATGGCAGTCTTTGTTCACCGGATTCCCGCAGCGCGTCGTCGATTTTCATCAATGTCCTTTCAAATTCTGCGACCGCTTCGTCTGAACTTTCGACCTCTTTATTGAGCTGTGCTTCGGCGTCTTCATCTCCCGAGGCGCTTAGTATGTCAATGATCTGTTCATCGAGTTCCTTTAACCTCTTGACTTTCTCTCGTAACGTGACCTGGCTTTGTCTCAGCCATGTCAAATCCCTTTCTGCTTTCTCGTCAATCGCTCTCGGAATCGTTTCAACTATCTTCGCTACAAGTTTACTAGCCGAAGCTCGATGAGCTCCTCTCACCCGTCTTTTCCTCGTCAGATCGTCCATACCTTTCGTTGTTCCACTTCACGCTAAATCTTTTACACACGACAGCAGCGCAAATATCACTCGCTCTTTGTCCGCAGCCTCGTTCACCTTTCACAAATCCGGTTCGAAGGACCACTGTTTTGCAGAATCCCCAATCGATCCCGCGCACACTGGTCCACATAAAAAACCACTCAGGGGACTGTATTCTATCGTTTATTTAAAGATTCTATTTACAGCGTGAGTTCATGCTTCCTCTACGATCTGACTCAATGATGGTATCAAAATTCAATGCCAGCGTTAATTAATAGTGCTATATTACATTACAACGTGTCTTTGTGCCGAATCAACAATGTGCCCTTGTGACGTATTTACAAACAACTAAACTATATTTACATAAAGTGCTCACGTAACTGTTACACGCGGAACTGGCGGCGCTGCGCGGGGACCTACAACAATTCGAATTGATTTGATTCGAATTGATTTGATTCGAATTGATTTGATTCAAATTGATTTGATTCGAATTGAATTGATTTGATTCGAATTGATTTGATTCGAATTGATTTGATTCGAATTGATTTGATTCGAATTGATTTGATTCCAATTGAATTGATTTGATTGGATTTGATTCGAATTGAATTGATTTGATTCGAATTGATTTGATTCGAATTGATTTGATTCGAATTGATTTGATTCGAATTGATTTGATTCGAATTGATTTGATTCGAATTGATTTGATTCGAATTGATTTGATTCGAATTGATTTGATTGGAATTGATTTGATTCGAATTGATTTGATTCGAATTCATTTGATTCCAATTGATTTGATTCCAATTGATTTGATTCAAATTGATTTGATTCGAATTGATTTGATTTGATTCAAATTGATTTGATTCGAATTGATTTGATTCGAATTGATTTGATTCAAATTGATTTGATTCGAATTGATTTGATTCGAATTGATTTGATTCGAATTGATTTGATTCGAATTGATTTGATTCGAATTGATTTGATTTGATTCGAATTGATTTGATTCGAATTGATTTGATTCGAATTGATTTGATTCGAATTGATTTGATTCAAATTGATTTGATTCGAATTGATTTGATTCGAATTGATTTGATTCGAATTGATTTGATTCGAATTGATTTGATTCGAATTGATTTGATTTGATTCGAATTGATTTGATTCGAATTGATTTGATTCGAATTGATTTGATTCGAATTGATTTGATTCCAATTGAATTGATTTGATTGGATTTGATTCGAATTGAATTGATTGTTAATCCCAATGGTAGAACGAAACGATTAACTCTTAGCAATAACCAATGAGACAACACTTGGGTTGAACGGTGCGCAGACAAATCGAACTCGACAGAATTTGAGTATCGAACAAGTAAAATATTATAACTTTAATCCAAAAGTTCGTGGGTTTGATAGACGTGAATTGACACAGAATTGTGGCAATTGTTAATCGTAGAAATCGGTTCGAACTAAATAACGTGACAATGCAAAAAATATCTATCTAGTACTTAATATTAACACAATAACTCATTGTTCGTGCAGTATCATAAAAAACATGCGACTATATGAATAGAAGTAAATCTATCGAATACACTATAAATTAAGTCTAAATCTGTACGTGGTAAATCATTTGACCAGTTCAGAATACCAAATTAAAACGCAAACTACGAGTAACCTAACTAACAAACAATTGTACTAGTACTGAAGAAAGATCAATATGTACTTACTTTGGTTTCCACGCGCACCGACGTTGACTTTATTGCTTTCGTGTAGAACGTGAAACCGAAACAAGTACACAAACGAACGTGATAGAAATTTCTAAATTATACTAAATCCACCAACATAAATTTTGATGTCCTCTTACTAGGAGTAACACGTTGAATAGTGCCTTGATCTTCCTTGAGTCACGCAATTTTACTATTATCTACTGCCCGCAGGCATTTAATTTTACGAGCATGCTGATTGATATTAAGCGTTAGATAGCGTGGCGTCAAGGTGTTAGGACTAAACTTGCCTACAAGTAGGTGTTTCAAAACTAACATTCCGGCCCCTTAAAGGCGGAACCATGAGCAGCCTTTACCTATAGTTCTAACGCATAAAGTTTTGAAACAAAACACAGATTATCTACTAGAGACAAACTGGACAATATTGATCTAATTGTGACTATTAGGTCCATGCATGTTATAGAGTCTACTTATCGTTCTGGTTGCCATCGGCTTCCTCCAACAACACAATCTTGTTCACCGGTCGTATGAGCTCACTCGTCCTTGTCTTCAACTTCACGGAGCGTACGAGACCATCGTTGAGGTTGGTATAAACTTCCAGAACTCGTCCAAGTGGCCAGAAGTTTCGTGGTGTCTTATCATCCAGGACCAGCACAATGTCATTGACTGCGAAGTTCCTGTGTCGTTTATTCCACTTCTGCCGAACCTGCAAAGTTGGAAGATATTCCCTGATCCAGCGGCGCCAGAATACGTCTGCTAAGTACTGTACTTGGCGCCATCTCCGACTGTATGCATCTTGCTTGGTGGTAGTTGTGGGGGAGTGTGCCCGGCTCTCAACAACAACAGGTGGTTAGGGGTCAGAGGTTCCATGTCGCGCGGGTCATCGGAGAGCTTGGTGATTGGTCGTCCATTTACGATTGCCTCGACTTCGCACATCAATGTATTAATGCCTTCGTCGTCCAGGATTTGTTCTCTGGTCACAGCCTTGATCACCTTTCGTGTGGTTCTGATACACCTTTCCCAGACACCACCATGATGGGAACCAGTGGGAGGATTAAATGTCCACTTGACATTCTTTTGTAGAAGAAATTCGTTGATCTGTGATTGGTTCCATTTCTTCACAGCTTCACGTAGCTCTTTCTCTCCCTTTACAAAGTTTCCTCCGTTGTCCGATCGAATTTCGTCTGGTTGGCCTCTCCTCGAGATGAATCTACGCAGGGCATTGATAAAAGAACACGTGTCTAAAGAGCTTGAGACTTCAAGATGGATAGCACGGGTCGTCAAACACGTGAAGAGGACGCCATAGCGCTTCACTGTCACTCGTCCACGTCGCACTTCGAAGGGGCCAAAACAGTCTACTCCGGTGTATGTAAAGGGGGGTTGGAAGGTGTTGTTCGATCCTTCGGAAGATGAGCCATTTTCTGTTGACTCACAGGCGCTTGTCGTTTCTTGCATCCAATGCATCGGTTGAGCACCCGGCGTACCGTCTGTCTGCCGTTGATGATCCAATAACGCTGACGTATTAAGACAAAGTATACTCTAAACCAGAATGCCCGGCAAGATTGTGATGATGATTCACGATCAACGTTACGACGTGGTGATTCTTCGGTAAAACAACTGGGTGTGCTTTGCTTGTTGACCAATCGGTGCTCGATCTAGGCGACCTCCAACGCATACGAGCCCATGTTTCAAGATTGGGTCGAGCTTGAAAATTTTGCTGCTCTTCTTTAGCGCCCTTGCGTCCTTCGGACTTGTTTCGCTGTTGACTTCGCGGAGAATCTTTCGTTCCTCCTCGAAACACTTCTTCTGTACGTGCCTTAGAATCACAGATTCAGCATTCCGTAGCTCCTCTACATCGATGGGAGTATATGCCGTGGAGTCGTTCGCTACTGGCTCCCCGGCCCTTCGTCTTTTGATCTGACGTTGCAAATTGGTCTTGTATCGAAGGATCCATGCCATGATTTTTCTGAGGTGATTCCAAGATGAAAAGCGTTCAATGATCGAATCGATAGGATTTTCATCGGATTCTTTGGCGACTGTCGAGCAAACAGAAGGCTTCTTCACTTCTAAATCTGTATCTTCAGCGTTATTGAAGTCGGCTGGTCTCGTTGGCCAGTTTTCGAATGGCTTTAAAAGGAACGTTGGACCATTAATCCATCGTTCGAGGGCATCCGGTTGAACTCCTCTCGACGCATCATCCGCGGGGTTGAGCTCTGTGTTCACATAGTGCCACTGAGACGGGGAAGACGAGTTGTGAATAGCAGCGACTCGGTTCGCTACAAATGTTTGGAATCGTTTGTCTTCGTTCTCGATATACCGTAACACGCACGTGCTGTCGGTCCAAAAGAAGGATTGATTGATATGCAGGCTGAGCTCTCGTCGGCACATTCCGTCTAATTTCGTCGCTACGACTGCAGCTGATAACTCCATTCTTGGGATAGTAAGTGGTTTGATCGGTGCAAGTCTGGACTTGCCCATCACGAAAGAACATTTTACCTGATTACCTTCGTCTTCGATTCTAGGTACGATACAGCGCCGTAACCGTGTTGCGAGGCGTCTGCAAAATGGTGTAGTTGGATTGTTTTAATCTCTCCGTGATCTTGGGATTTAAAACAGCGGTCGACTACGAGTTGCTCTAACTTTGGCAGTTCTTCGAGCCACGATCGCCAGCGATTGAGATGTTCTTCGGGAATTTCTTCATCCCAACCTAGCTTCATGCGACAAAGGTCTTGAAGGATAAGTTTAGCTTGGAATACAAACGGGGCGGCGAACCCGAGTGGATCGTACACCGAGCTAATGATCGACAATATGCCTCTTCTCGAGGGAGGACGGTCCTTTATAACGATGCTGAAGCCAAACTGATCGGATGATATATTCCATTGCGTTCCCAGAGCTCGCTCGACAGACCAACAGTTGAAATCGAGGTTCTTGACGATAGATGCTCTTTCAGATTCGGGGATCGCTTCGACGACCCTTCTTGAATTCGACAGCCATTTCGTCAACTTGAAACCTCCTCGGGCCAGCAGCTCACGTAGTTGCTGTGACAGATTAACAGCTTCTTCTTCTTCGCTAACTGACTTAAGGCAATCGTCGACATAGAAGTTCCTTTCTACGGTTTCAATAACCTTAGGATCAAATTCAGCCTGGTTATCTTTGGCGGTCCTCTTGAGTGCAAAGTTGGCACAGCTTGGGATGACGCTCCGCCGAAAAGATGCACTCGCATTTCATACTCCTCTGGGTCTTTGGAGAGATCGCCGTCGGGCCACCACAGAAACCTGAGGGCGTCGCAGTCACTTGAAGGAACGCGTACTTGATAGAACATCGCCTCGATGTCCGCCATCATCGCCACCGGTTCTTCCCTGAACCTCGTTAACACGCCAACGAGCGTATTCGTAAGATCCGGCCCCTGTAACAGCTGGTCGTTCAACGAGGTGTCACGGTACTTGGCAGAGCAATCAAACACGACGCGAATCTTTTCGGGTTTTTGCGGGTGGAACACCGGGTGATGGGGAAGGTACCAGAATGATTTCAGCGGACCGATATCTTGTGTAGTAGCCTTTCTTGCATAGTCGTTCAAGAATAGATTGTCCATAAACTTCTTGTACTTTTCCAGAAGTGATGGATCTTGTTGAAGTCGCCTTTTAAGAGATCCTAGACGTCGTTGGGCTTGAGGCATATTATTAGGCAGGTAAGGTGGGAAATTTTTCCAAGGCATACCAATCTCGTAGTGTCCATTCACTAACTTTACTGACCCTTCCATTATGTTCAAAGCCTTTTGTCATTCTGTGACATAGTCGATTCGAGTTCACGGTTCACGTCGTTAAACTCCATATTACAAAACTCTTCGAAGCGCTGCTCCAGTGTGCTGTCTGCTTGAACGGGATTTGCTGTCGGGACGTCGACATCTTCTCTACCCAGCGGTCCATTCAGAACCCATCCGAATAGTGTTTTTGTGGCAAAAGGACCCCCATTCTCGCTCATCCGTACTTCTTCAGGCTGTAGCATCTCTGGAACGTCGCTACCGATAAGGAGGCCTATGTCAGCATCAATGTGTCGAATTGTTATGCCTTTTAGGTATGGCCATCGTTCGATATCTTCTTGCCTCCCAATGCATTCTGCGCGAATAGGCAGGCTCTTGGTTGAATAAACCTTAGGGAGATCGACATGATTTCGTTGATCCAGATCGAAAACATCCATTCGACGAGAGAACATTCAACTGGGGCACCTTCGCCGAGCATCGTTGTCAGCGACAACTTCGCCTTTCTTCCTTCGTTGTTCAATGCCTTCAAAAGGCCTTCTGTACAAAAGGAGGTGTTTGAGCCAGAGTCCAAGAACGCGTAGGTTTCTACCATTTCGGTGCAACCTTTCACTCTAACTCGAACCGGAACTACAGCTAGACCCGTGACCGAGGACTTCTTCAACTGTTCCCTATTTGGAGATCTCCTTACGTAACCGTTGTTGGCAGAATTCGTTGATCCCTCAATTTCTTCCTTTGTAGCTTGATTTGAAAGGGGTTTTTTGTCTTCGTGATCATTAGGTGTAGACTTGGGATGTAGAAACGTTGAGTGTTTACCGGTGCATCCTTCTATCTTACAGAAACTCTCTTTAGGGCACGAGCGTACAAAATGTCCAGCGTTGAAGCAATTCAACAAAGTCTCTTGTTCTTCACGAATTCCATTCGCTGATCAAGTGACATCTTCCTGAACTTTCCGCAACGAGCTAGCCAGTGGTTTTCATTGCAGGGACATATATTCTTGTATGTCCTGCCGTCTTGGTCTTTGCCACCCGCTTTCTGGTCTCCTTGGGTGCAAAGCCGTTTGCTCTCCTGTCATGCGTTCTCTTTCCCTTTGTTTCCTCTTGTCTTCCCTTGTTTTCGTTCACAATCTTCCCGAAGACTGGGTGGGTAGCTGCTCTTGCCTTAACCGTTACGAACTCTGTGACATCGTTTATCGTGCATCTCGGCCTTGCTTAGCTACGATCCCATCGACAACATCCCGCCACTTCAGTCTCATTCCAAACGGCAAGCGGTTAATAATCTTTCGTAGGTTCTCGGGATGGTCCAGTTTCGTCAGGAGCCGATTTCTTTCAAGGTGTTGGTGCAACTTGTCAGTTGGATTGAAAACTGGAGAAGCCCATTTCCATCTTCAGCCTTGATTGGTGGTCCTTCTGTCAGTTTTCCTATATGCGCTGCAGCTATTCGAAAACTCTGTCCGTACCTTTCCTTGAGTAAACGTCTTGCTTCGTTGTAACCCTTCTCTGGTTCCATGGACAAACAACTCTTCATGAGTTCCTGGGCCGGCCCAGACGTGTACTGTACTAGGTAATAGAGGCGGGAGCTGGAACTTGGCGTTTTCGTTTCGACAAGATGTTCGAAACTTCGGATGAAGTCACAATATTCGATAGGATCTCCGTTAAAGATCTTCATGGTAGGTTGTGGTAATGTTAGCGCTGTTACGCCTTGCATCTGTTGCTGAATCATCTGTTGAAGAACAACGTTCTGGCGGTCTTGGGTTTCCATTAGACGCTGGAACGAGTGATCATGAGGGAGCGCACTGGCTGGAGTCCACTCCGGAGTAGTCGGGTTTAGCTGCTGACTATTGAACGCTTCCCTTTGTCGTAGGCTATTCTCTGTAGCATGTGGTTTGAGAGATGCGGTTTATTTGCGCGGACGTGTTGCTGAATCGACTTCGCCGCAACGTGACGCGAACGGGCAGATCGGTTGGAGTTAACATCACTAGCTTCAGATTGTTCATAGACATGTTTCTCTGCTTCCACGGCAGCTATTTCTGCTTGAAGTTCGACTTGGGATTTTTTCTGTTTTATTTTGAGCTCTTCCAATTGAAGTTCATGCAGTTTGTTAAGCGCATTCGCTTTCGCTTCAAGCGCGGCTTGTTTTGCGGCAGCTCTTGCCCTTGCGCTGGACGAACTCCTAACTGAGGTAGCGATTGATCGTGTTTGAAACGCGACGACTTGTGTGATCCGGCAGTGGAAATAGAATCCTCTGGTTGAATTTGGTTTTGGCTTTCTTGCCCAAGTTGAATAGCCGGTTGTTCAAGCCACGATTGAATTTTCGTCCTATGCTCCGAAACGAGTTCGTTAACCGAATTAAAATACAATTTAGATTCCTCGACTTCATGTTCTTCCTTGAGCAAATTATGGTAAGCTTCATGCGCAACTTCGAAATGTTTTAAAACTTCATCTAGTTCCTTAGCAATTTCCTTTACAGAATCGACATTGTCGCATGATGTCAGTATCTCATTGACTTATTAGCCTTTCGCGTTACGTTTCCTTTTGCAATACTTCTCGCCTTTTTTAATTGATCCATGATATGTTCAATATCCGAGTCCATTAAGACGCGTTGAGTGATTTTGACGTTTTAAATTAAGATAAAGTTCTCAGGCAATAACTGGCATTCCTTCTCAGTGCCCGGAGCACGAAACGAGAGGTAAATTCTTCAAATTCTTTCAGTGTGAAACAAATTCGAACTTAAATGTTAATCCCAATGGTAGAACGAAACGATTAACTCTTAGCAATAACCAATGAGACAACACTTGGGTTGAACGGTGCGCAGACAAATCGAACTCGACAGAATTTGAGTATCGAACAAGTAAAATATTATAACTTTAATCCAAAAGTTCGTGGGTTTGATAGACGTGAATTGACACAGAATTGTGGCAATTGTTAATCGTAGAAATCGGTTCGAACTAAATAACGTGACAATGCAAAAAATATCTATCTAGTACTTAATATTAACACAATAACTCATTGTTCGTGCAGTATCATAAAAACATGCGACTATATGAATAGAAGTAAATCTATCGAATACACTATAAATTAAGTCTAAATCTGTACGTGGTAAATCATTTGACCAGTTCAGAATACCAAATTAAAACGCAAACTACGAGTAACCTAACTAACAAACAATTGTACTAGTACTGAAGAAAGATCAATATGTACTTACTTTGGTTTCCACGCGCACCGACGTTGACTTTATTGCTTTCGTGTAGAACGTGAAACCGAAACAAGTACACAAACGAACGTGAATAGAAATTTCTAAATTATACTAAATCCACCAACATAAATTTTGATGTCCTCTTACTAGGAGTAACACGTTGAATAGTGCCTTGATCTTCCTTGAGTCACGCAATTTTACTATTATCTACTGCCCGCAGGCATTTAATTTTACGAGCATGCTGATTGATATTAAGCGTTAGATAGCGTGGCGTCAAGGTGTTAGGACTAAACTTGCCTACAAGTAGGTGTTTCAAAACTAACATTCCGGCCCCTTAAAGGCGGAACCATGAGCAGCCTTTACCTATAGTTCTAACGCATAAAGTTTTGAAACAAAACACAGATTATCTACTAGAGACAAACTGGACAATATTGATCTAATTGTGACTATTAGGTCCATGCATGTTATAGAGTCTACTTATCGTTCTGGTTGCCATCGGCTTCCTCCAACAACACAATCTTGTTCACCGGTCGTATGAGCTCACTCGTCCTTGTCTTCAACTTCACGGAGCGTACGAGACCATCGTTGAGGTTGGTATAAACTTCCAGAACTCGTCCAAGTGGCCAGAAGTTTCGTGGTGTCTTATCATCCAGGACCAGCACAATGTCATTGACTGCGAAGTTCCTGTGTCGTTTATTCCACTTCTGCCGAACCTGCAAAGTTGGAAGATATTCCCTGATCCAGCGGCGCCAGAATACGTCTGCTAAGTACTGTACTTGGCGCCATCTCCGACTGTATGCATCTTGCTTGGTGGTAGTTGTGGGGGAAGTGTGGGCCCGGCTCTCAACAACAACAGGTGGTTAGGGGTCAGAGGTTCCATGTCGCGCGGGTCATCGGAGAGCTTGGTGATTGGTCGTCCATTTACGATTGCCTCGACTTCGCACATCAATGTATTAATGCCTTCGTCGTCCAGGATTTGTTCTCTGGTCACAGCCTTGATCACCTTTCGTGTGGTTCTGATACACCTTTCCCAGACACCACCATGATGGGAACCAGTGGGAGGATTAAATGTCCACTTGACATTCTTTTGTAGAAGAAATTCGTTGATCTGTGATTGGTTCCATTTCTTCACAGCTTCACGTAGCTCTTTCTCTCCCTTTACAAAGTTTCCTCCGTTGTCCGATCGAATTTCGTCTGGTTGGCCTCTCCTCGAGATGAATCTACGCAGGGCATTGATAAAAGAACACGTGTCTAAAGAGCTTGAGACTTCAAGATGGATAGCACGGGTCGTCAAACACGTGAAGAGGACGCCATAGCGCTTCACTGTCACTCGTCCACGTCGCACTTCGAAGGGGCCAAAACAGTCTACTCCGGTGTATGTAAAGGGGGGGTTGGAAGGTGTTGTTCGATCCTTCGGAAGATGAGCCATTTTCTGTTGACTCACAGGCGCTTGTCGTTTCTTGCATCCAATGCATCGGTTGAGCACCCGGCGTACCGTCTGTCTGCCGTTGATGATCCAATAACGCTGACGTATTAAAGACAAAGTATACTCTAAACCAGAATGCCCGGCAAGATTGTGATGATGATTCACGATCAACGTTACGACGTGGTGATTCTTCGGTAAAACAACTGGGTGCTTTGCTTGTTGACCAATCGGTGCTCGATCTAGGCGACCTCCAACGCATACGAGCCCATGTTTCAAGATTGGGTCGAGCTTGAAAATTTTGCTGCTCTTCTTTAGCGCCCTTGCGTCCTTCGGACTTGTTTCGCTGTTGACTTCGCGGAGAATCTTTCGTTCCTCCTCGAAACACTTCTTCTGTACGTGCCTTAGAATCACAGATTCAGCATTCCGTAGCTCCTCTACATCGATGGGAGTATATGTACCGTTGGAGTCGTTCGCTACTGGCTCCCCGGCCCTTCGTCTTTTGATCTGACGTTGCAAATTGGTCTTGTATCGAAGGATCCATGCCATGATTTTTCTGAGGTGATTCCAAGATGAAAAGCGTTCAATGATCGAATCGATAGGATTTTCATCGGATTCTTTGGCGACTGTCGAGCAAACAGAAGGCTTCTTCACTTCTAAATCTGTATCTTCAGCGTTATTGAAGTCGGCTGGTCTCGTTGGCCAGTTTTCGAATGGCTTTAAAAGGAACGTTGGACCATTAATCCATCGTTCGAGGGCATCCGGTTGAACTCCTCTCGACGCATCATCCGCGGGGTTGAGCTCTGTGTTCACATAGTGCCACTGAGACGGGGAAGACGAGTTGTGAATAGCAGCGACTCGGTTCGCTACAAATGTTTGGAATCGTTTGTCTTCGTTCTCGATATACCGTAACACGCACGTGCTGTCGGTCCAAAAGAAGGATTGATTGATATGCAGGCTGAGCTCTCGTCGGCACATTCCGTCTAATTTCGTCGCTACGACTGCAGCTGATAACTCCATTCTTGGGATAGTAAGTGGTTTGATCGGTGCAAGTCTGGACTTGCCCATCACGAAAGAACATTTTACCTTATTACCTTCGTCTTCGATTCTCAGGTACGATACAGCGCCGTAACCGTGTTGCGAGGCGTCTGCAAAATGGTGTAGTTGGATTGTTTTAATCTCTCCGTGATCTTGGGATTTAAAACAGCGGTCGACTACGAGTTGCTCTAACTTTGGCAGTTCTTCGAGCCACGATCGCCAGCGATTGAGATGTTCTTCGGGAATTTCTTCATCCCAACCTAGCTTCATGCGACAAAGGTCTTGAAGGATAAGTTTAGCTTGGAATACAAACGGGGCGGCGAACCCGAGTGGATCGTACACCGAGCTAATGATCGACAATATGCCTCTTCTCGAGGGAGGACGGTCCTTTATAACGATGCTGAAGCCAAACTGATCGGATGATATATTCCATTGCGTTCCCAGAGCTCGCTCGACAGACCAACAGTTGAAATCGAGGTTCTTGACGATAGATGCTCTTTCAGATTCGGGGATCGCTTCGACGACCCTTCTTGAATTCGACAGCCATTTCGTCAACTTGAAACCTCCTCGGGCCAGCAGCTCACGTAGTTGCTGTGACAGATTAACAGCTTCTTCTTCTTCGCTAACTGACTTAAGGCAATCGTCGACATAGAAGTTCCTTTCTACGGTTTCAATAACCTTAGGATCAAATTCAGCCTGGTTATCTTTGGCGGTCCTCTTGAGTGCAAAGTTGGCACAGCTTGGGATGACGCTCCGCCGAAAAGATGCACTCGCATTTCATACTCCTCTGGGTCTTTGGAGAGATCGCCGTCGGGCCACCACAGAAACCTGAGGGCGTCGCAGTCACTTGAAGGAACGCGTACTTGATAGAACATCGCCTCGATGTCCGCCATCATCGCCACCGGTTCTTCCCTGAACCTCGTTAACACGCCAACGAGCGTATTCGTAAGATCCGGCCCCTGTAACAGCTGGTCGTTCAACGAGGTGTCACGGTACTTGGCAGAGCAATCAAACACGACGCGAATCTTTTCGGGTTTTTGCGGGTGGAACACCGGGTGATGGGGAAGGTACCAGAATGATTTCAGCGGACCGATATCTTGTGTAGTAGCCTTTCTTGCATAGTCGTTCAAGAATAGATTGTCCATAAACTTCTTGTACTTTTCCAGAAGTGATGGATCTTGTTGAAGTCGCCTTTTAAGAGATCCTAGACGTCGTTGGGCTTGAGGCATATTATTAGGCAGGTAAGGTGGGAAATTTTTCCAAGGCATACCAATCTCGTAGTGTCCATTCACTAACTTTACTGACCCTTCCATTATGTTCAAAGCCTTTTGTCATTCTGTGACATAGTCGATTCGAGTTCACGGTTCACGTCGTTAAACTCCATATTACAAAACTCTTCGAAGCGCTGCTCCAGTGTGCTGTCTGCTTGAACGGGATTTGCTGTCGGGACGTCGACATCTTCTCTACCCAGCGGTCCATTCAGAACCCATCCGAATAGTGTTTTTGTGGCAAAAGGACCCCCATTCTCGCTCATCCGTACTTCTTCAGGCTGTAGCATCTCTGGAACGTCGCTACCGATAAGGAGGCCTATGTCAGCATCAATGTGTCGAATTGTTATGCCTTTTAGGTATGGCCATCGTTCGATATCTTCTTGCCTCCCAATGCATTCTGCGCGAATAGGCAGGCTCTTGGTTGAATAAACCTTAGGGAGATCGACATGATTTCGTTGATCCAGATCGAAAACATCCATCTCGACGAGAGAACATTCAACTGGGGCACCTTCGCCGAGCATCGTTGTCAGCGACAACTTCGCCTTTCTTCCTTCGTTGTTCAATGCCTTCAAAAGGCCTTCTGTACAAAAGGAGGTGTTTGAGCCAGAGTCCAAGAACGCGTAGGTTTCTACCATTTCGGTGCAACCTTTCACTCTAACTCGAACCGGAACTACAGCTAGACCCGTGACCGAGGACTTCTTCAACTGTTCCCTATTTGGAGATCTCCTTACGTAACCGTTGTTGGCAGAATTCGTTGATCCCTCAATTTCTTCCTTTGTAGCTTGATTTGAAAGGGGTTTTTTGTCTTCGTGATCATTAGGTGTAGACTTGGGATGTAGAAACGTTGAGTGTTTACCGGTGCATCCTTCTATCTTACAGAAACTCTCTTTAGGGCACGAGCGTACAAAATGTCCAGCGTTGAAGCAATTCAAACAAAGTCTCTTGTTCTTCACGAATTCCATTCGCTGATCAAGTGACATCTTCCTGAACTTTCCGCAACGAGCTAGCCAGTGGTTTTCATTGCAGGGACATATATTCTTGTATGTCCTGCCGTCTTGGTCTTTGCCACCCGCTTTCTGGTCTCCTTGGGTTGCAAAGCCGTTTGCTCTCCTGTCATGCGTTCTCTTTCCCTTTGTTTCCTCTTGTCTTCCCTTGTTTTCGTTCACAATCTTCCCGAAGACTGGGTGGGTAGCTGCTCTTGCCTTAACCGTTACGAACTCTGTGACATCGTTTATCGTGACATCTCGGCCTTGCTTAGCTACGATCCCATCGACAACATCCCGCCACTTCAGTCTCATTCCAAACGGCAAGCGGTTAATAATCTTTCGTAGGTTCTCGGGATGGTCCAGTTTCGTCAGAGAGCCGATTTCTTTCAAGGTGTTGGTGCAACTTGTCAGTTGGATTGAAAACTGGAGAAGCCCATTTCCATCTTCAGCCTTGATTGGTGGTCCTTCTGTCAGTTTTCCTATATGCGCTGCAGCTATTCGAAAACTCTGTCCGTACCTTTCCTTGAGTAAACGTCTTGCTTCGTTGTAACC